AGGAAAAAAAATTTACTTAAATGATTTTAGCAAATGGCTGCAATATAACAAAGAGTGAAAAATGTAAGGGGGTCTGAATACTTTCCGTACCCACTGTATATATGTATATATATATATATATACACACATACACGTAAACTAACTGGTGAATTGAACCTGTTCATTGAATTGAACTGTCCGAAAGAATCAGTTCATAGAAAAGAATCAGATTTACACGTTTGCCTGAGTCTCTGGATTACAGTAATAATGTTGTAAATAATGTTCAGTTTCTTGCACAGACCGATTGTTTTGTTTCATAAGACCTCAATATATCATCAGGAGCCGCGGGGATTAATTTTGTGTCACCTGTATGTGCGTTTTTGAATATCAAAGTGCCGGTAGCCATTGATCTGCATTTTATGAATCACCGAAGTCCACGGTTTCAGCTAAAAATCTTCTTTACTGTTCTACTGAAGAAAAAAGTCAGCTACCCCTATTGAAAAAAACAGCATATGCTGGTTAGGTATGTTTTGAAGCATGGTAGCTAGTTGCTCAGGACCAGCTTATAACCAGCTTAAACCAGCTACCATGCTTTAAAACATACCTAACCAGCATATGCTGTTTTTTTTCAACAGGGACATCTTGGATGGTGTGAGTGTGAGTAAATTAACAGCAAATATTGATTTTTGGGTGAAATATCCCTTTAAGTTGGAGTACTAAACCTACTAAAACAGACATAAAAATAGATGTAAAAATAAAAACTGCACGGGTTCTGCTCGTTTATTGGAGTTTGCTGGTTCTGCGCGACTCACCGACGTGATCTTTGCCCATGGCAGCCACCGTGAGGAAGAGCATCTCTCTGTACAGACTCCTGCAGATGCACACAAACACACGTCAGAGTCGCGTTCAGACTCACCTGAGCATCACCTGAGCTCTCACCACTCCTCACCTCTGTATCCGCGGAGTGCCGGGCTGCTTAGCAACCGTATCCAGGAAGAGCATGATGGCCTTGTGTACCTCGTTCAGACCGATCCAGCGTAGCACTTCCTCCAGGAAGCTGAGGTTGAAGGGATGGTTGTGATGCCGCCAGCTGTAGCTGCGCATGGGGACGCCACCTGCAGGACGGGAGGGGAATCACATTAAATAACGGGAATCGACAGATTATTAATACTGTAATACTGTAGGAGAGTACATATACCCACCAGTGCTGATTTTGACTTGCATTTGCGCTTGATGAGTGTTACTCTCATAATGCATTAGTGTCCGTTTTGACCCAGAAGAGATACATAAATTCTAAAAAATGCAGTTTTTAGTGAGGGAGCGATGCTTTGCGAATGCTTTAAGACCCTCAAAATACACATAATTTTTATTTTTATTTATTTTTTACAATTTTTTTAAAGATAAAAGTCAGCTACCCCTATTGAAAAAAACAGCATATGCTGGTTAGGTATGTTTTGAAGCATGGTAGCTAGTTGCTCAGGACCAGCTTATAACCAGCTTAAACCAGCTACCATGCTTTAAAACATACCTAACCAGCATATGCTGTTTTTTTTCAACAGGGACATCTTGGATGGTGTGAGTGTGAGTAAATTAACAGCAAATGTTGATTTTTGGGTGAAATATCCCTTTAAGTTGGAGTACTAAACCTACTAAAACAGACATAAAAATAGATGTAAAAATAAAAACTGCACGGGTTCTGCTCGTTTATTGGAGTTTGCTGGTTCTGCGCGACTCACCGACGTGATCTTTGCCCATGGCAGCCACCGTGAGGAAGAGCATCTCTCTGTACAGACTCCTGCAGATGCACACAAACACACGTCAGAGTCGCGTTCAGACTCACCTGAGCATCACCTGAGCTCTCACCACTCCTCACCTCTGTATCCGCGGAGTGCCGGGCTGCTTAGCAACCGTATCCAGGAAGAGCATGATGGCCTTGTGTACCTCGTTCAGACCGATCCAGCGTAGCACTTCCTCCAGGAAGCTGAGGTTGAAGGGATGGTTGTGATGCCGCCAGCTGTAGCTGCGCATGGGGACGCCACCTGCAGGACGGGAGGGGAATCACATTAAATAACGGGAATCGACAGATTATTAATACTGTAATACTGTAGGAGAGTACATATACCCACCAGTGCTGATTTTGACTTGCATTTGCGCTTGATGAGTGTTACTCTCATAATGCATTAGTGTCCGTTTTGACCCAGAAGAGATACATAAATTCTAAAAAATGCAGTTTTTAGTGAGGGAGCGATGCTTTGCGAATGCTTTAAGACCCTCAAAATACACATAATTTTTATTTTTATTTATTTTTTACAATTTTTTTAAAGATATATAACCATTTAAATACATGCGACATGTTTCATGTAAAATATATTTAGTCTTTTGTTGATGAACATGAATATGTATGTCTACTGATGAACCATTGCAGCAAGAAAAACTGATCACTTTTTTTTTTTCTGAAAGTGAATGCTTATGCAAGTAAAATGAATTTATTTTGTTTGAAAACATTTCAGAGTGTTGTTTTGATAGAAATTATGTAGTTTTCATACATTTGGACTGTATTTGAGCAATCAAGAGTTATAAATTCATTCCAATGGGCTAAATACTGGTAATTCTCAGATTATATGTTTTTTTAAATTTTATACAATGATATATTCAAATAAAATTTCTCAACAATATTACTATATGTATATAGTAATGTATACCCCCAGTATTGGGGGTAATGCATTACAAGTACCGCAAGTTACATAATCAGATTACTTTTTCAAGTAATTAGTAAAGCAACTCATTACTTTTAAATTTACAACAAAATATCTGGTTGACTTTTTCAGGTAAGAAATGCCAGATCCTTCCCATGTATTGACTGACAGCTCTCCTGTCTTCATGCTGAGAGAAATCAGGAGTGAGTGCAGAGACAGAGGCTCTTCCTTCAGCTTTTGGGTTTTTGTTATTAAAAAACAAATAAACAAGCCCAGCCCAGATGACAAAAAATATTGCAGAAGTCATGTAATGCATTATTTTCCATAAAAAGTAACTAAGTAACGCAGCTAGTTAGTTTTGTATGGAGTAACGCAATATTGAAATACATTACTTTTAAAAGTAACTTTCCCCAACACTGGTTATATAGTATTTATTTTGCATCATGGCAACATTCAAAACTTTGACATGTTTTCACATTCACTCATTAACGAGAAGTTGCTGATCAGTGTGGTTTTAGTTGAAAAATATAAAGTTTTGTGAAAACAGTACAGAGATTTTGAATGTATTATGAGTGTTGATGTTAGGCTTTGTGTGTGTGTGTGTCTTACTGTGAATCCTCCAGAGCATGTAGAGCGCTGGCCACTGCTCTGTATCTGGGGTCAGTGTGTCCCACAGCAGCCTCACGCGCACCGCCGTGCCCTCTGACCCCTGACACACAAACACACCGTCAGCTGAGCTCCTCTGTGACTGAGTGAGTATGGTTAGGGTTAGTGAAGTATGTCGATATATGTGTGTGTGTGTGTATGGGAGTGTGTGTCTGTGTGTGTGTGTATGAGAGTGTGTGTGACTGAGTGAGTGAGTGTGTATGGTTAGGGTTAGTGATGTATGTCGATATGTGTGTGTGTGTGTGTGTTGTGTGTGTGTGTATGAGAGTGTGTGTGAGAGTGAGTGAGTGAGCATGGTTAGGATTAGTGATGTATGTCGATATACTGTATGTGTGTGTGTGTGTGTGTGAGAGTGAGTGAGTGAGACCTGTGTGAGGCGTGTTGTCAGCGGAGACGTCCGCAGCAGCTGCAGCAGGTATCAGATCATGTGACTCCATATGATTTGTAATTTTTCTGGTTAAACACTGTGCCAATAAGCGCTCCCCCCCCTCCCCTTTTTAATGCATGCTTTATTTATACATGTTCATAAGTATTTTCAAATGTTCAGATAAAAATTTATTTTCAGTATAATCAGTATTTGATTATCATACAAATAGTGCAGAATCTTACATTTTTTCACATTTTACATTTTTCATAAATTGTTTTTTTAATATCCTAAAAAGTTTGTTTATTTTAAAGTTGAAATTAGACTTTGAATAACAGATGTAGAGTGTGACGCCACTCAACACCACTGTGCGTGTGTGAATGTTCTCACATCAACGTCATTGTGATTCGTAGCGACGTATGGTTGAGAATATTGACCACATAAATACCACATTCTTTTTTTCACAAATAGAAAACTATTTATAAACTTACTATAGAGGAAGATTTAATATTTACATTCATATTTATTCAAGGTCTTGGCTATAGTGGAAAACAGAAAATCTGGGGAAAAAAGCTATTCAATTTACTATTGAATTTGGGGAAAATATTTATTATATATTAATAATAAATAAAAAATAATATATATTAAAATATTAAGATCTCTTTAAAACAAAAACGTGATTTTTTATTTATTTTTTTTGGTTCTTAAGGCAAAGTAGAATTTTCATAACCTTAAAATTATTTAATTTGGAAGAAATTATTTGAAGTATTATAATCTACTCTTTAAAAAAATATTAAATTATCCTAAAGGAGAGAAAAGTTCCCCTAATCAAAGACTCAAGCGTGTGTTATTTTAGTATCAGTTAGATAGTTTTCATTAATATTTTGAATCAGATTTTTATATATTTTCTATTTTCATTTAAAAGTTTGTTATTTTGTTGTGTTTTATATTATTACTTATTATACAGTTTTTATTAATTTTATTTCAGTTCCAGTTTTAGTTATTTTAGTCAAAACAAGTTATAATAAATTAAAATAAAGCTGAAATAAAATGAGTTTAAGTTTATGTTTTGTATTATTTCAGTGAATGAACGTTTGTTTTTTTGGTGTTAGTTTTAGTAGTCTGTGTCACCTGCAGACGTGCCCCGGGTCACAGATCTCTGCGTTCAGCAGCGGGACGAACGGCGCGGAGCAGAACGGACAGGTGGTGTTGAGATTAGAGTCGTCAGACGACCAGCCCGCCATGATCTCCTCATCATACACCAGAGAATTACAGCTGCGGCACAGCGAGCAGCTCGACATCAGCACCTGCACACACGCAGACAGATAAACACACACTCACAGATACACACACTGAGACCGATTCTGCTCTCATTCAGCATGAAAACAGCCTGTATCACCGTTACTGTAGTGCATAAAGAGTCACAAACCTCAATGCCCGCCCCTTCCTGTGCAGAATCCCACGACTTCCTGAGAGGAACTGCTAGCGTCTGGATGTCCGTCATGTCAATGTCACTCCCTACAGACAGAGAGCTCTGCACACACACACACACACACACACACACACAAACGCACACAAACACACACAAACACACACAAACACGCACACACAAACATGCACACACAAACACGCACACACACACACACACGCACACGCACACAAACACGCACGCAAACACGCACACACAAACATGCACACACAAACACGCACACACACACACACACGCACACGCACACAAACACGCACGCAAACACGCACACACAAACATGCACACACAAACACGCACACACACACACACACGCACACGCACACAAACACGCACGCAAACACGCACACACAAACATGCACGCACACACGCACACCCGAACACACACACACAGACACACACACGCACACACACACAGACACACACACACACACACACAGACACACACTGTTATGCACTATTCTTTTCAGGGCTGTCAAATGATTAAAATGTAATGTAATTAATTACATGATGTGCCAAGTAATTAATCTAATTAATCACATATCAATTTGGGCTGATAAATACCCCCCAAAAGATCATTTAAAGTCATTATTGTGATGAGAAATGCATTGAACAGACATTACAAAAAATAGATTTAGAAAGAAATATTTTGATTCAGCATTGCACAAATAAATGATGATGAATGTGTATTCATGTTTTTTTTTACTGAATACTGAAATATAAAATGATTCTTAAAAACTGATCAGTAGTCTTAATGAGTGAGTCATTGAATCACTTATTCAACCGATTCGTTCAAATGGCTGATTCATTCCGAATCAAAGCAAGGGACATAGCAAGTGTCTTTATGAACGAGTCACTGAATCATTGATTCAACCCATTCCTTCAAAACCATGAAATCATTCAGTAATGAATCATGGCTTTGATTGAACTAATTTTATTTGTGAAAATGAGCAAAAACAGACAATATTGACAATATTGTGTCTAAAATCTACACTTGACCCTCTGACACTAGCGTTCTATTCTATTTCTATTTTTTCGACTTCTTTTTATTAAAAAAAATTGACCCTCTAACACTTTCGTTCTCTATTCTTTTGACTTTTCTTTTTATAAAAAAATTGACCCTCTGACACTAGCGTTCTATTTCTATTCTTTTGACTTGCTTTATTTTTATTTATTACAAAATTGATCCTCTAACACTTTCGCTCTCTATTCTATTTCTATTATTTTGACTTGCTTTCTTTTTATAAAAAATTGACCCTCTGACACTAGCGTTCTATTCTATTTCTATTCTTTTGACTTGCTTTCTTTTTATTTATTTAAAAATTGACCCTCTAACACTTTCGCTCTCTATTCTATTTCTATTATTTTGACTTGCTTTCTTTTTATAAAAAATTGACCCTCTGACACTAGCGTTCTATTCTATTTCTATTCTTTTGACTTGCTTTCTTTTTATAAAAAAA